TTGTTACAACTTCTCTTTTCATTTATCGTCGATGAAGTTCGATCGAAGGACGCCCAGGTTTCCAAACAGGATTGTTCCACAACGAAGAACTCAGGTATTATAAAAATCTTACCTTAAGGTTATAAATCCCATATTCAAGATTAATGATATGACTGAAATTTTATATTGGGAAATCTAAAAAATTTCACTTTTATTGCTTGGTAAGATAGTTACGAGGGGATTCCATCTTTCTGGTTCCACTATGTCCTATTAAATGACGTGGACTGAAAATATAGTCAAACATCATTGTATTCGATCTATCTTAACCTCGGAGAGGTCAATTTAAAATTTTACAATTGTGATAGTGACAGGAATGAAACGGAAATATAACCTTCTGCCTTCAAATTTTTTATGAAGGAGGTCCTTTCACAGGACACGAAACCGAGATACAGGTTAGAGCGAATGACGAAGGGCTAACGCCTGAAACTTCAGCTTTAGAGAAACTCTTTACGTTATTGTCGACCCATTTGATAAAACCACTTTATCTTTAAGAACCTCCTACCAACGCAGCACCACAGTTTCTTTGGAAACTTGCCCCCTTAATTCACTAGTTCCCTTTCGTTTCGGTGGGATTTGTTAATAGAAATTTTCCGATGAACTTTTTACTTCAGAAAGATTACCATAGAATTATAGATATATATTATTTGACTACCAGACATATCTAAAGCCATCAACAAGAACGAAAACCAAATGAAACACACCATCGTTGTTGACCAGTTTTGTTCTTCGTCATCGATAACATAACAGGAAAAACTCAAAACTTCTAAAAAAGATCGATACCGCATCGAAGTTCTAATTTTCAGTTTCGGAACCTCACGCAAAACTTTATTAGGTTATTTCAAAGGCCGTCTCCACGTCAATATGATATTTTAATTTGTGTTATATTGAGTGTATGTTTGGTAATAATTGCTTTTGAGGAAGAGAAGGAGGAGGAGTCTTACTGAACAGCGAGAAAGTTATAATTAGCCATGCGGCGTTACCATGAATTACAAGAAAATTTGGTTAGACCTTCGTCATCACTTTGACGCAGGGCTTACGCTCGAAACGTCTGCTCTAGAAACTCTTTAGTCTTCGATTCTGACACGAACTGTTTTTTTTTTCCTTTTTCATTTTTTTTTCTCTCTTTCTTTGATTGTCTTTCTCCTCATTTTTTTATCTATTTTTTTTAATTATCGATCTACAAGTGCCAAAGATTTCCAGTGAGAAGTTGACCGATCCAGCCTTTCTTCGAAGTAATCGCGGATTATTTTTGCACGTGGTGAACACTCCAGCCGTAAGAACAACAGATACAGAGAGAGGTACAGAGGAGGGTGGAGCGAATTACACTATAAAAGATGCGCAACCCACACCAAATGAAGATACAAGGAATTTTGAAAAAACAACTGGAGTGGCTAAAAGTAACGAAGAGTCGCAAACTTCAGAAGCTTCCTACACAGGTGGAGAATTGAGTGATGGCGAAGAAGTGACAGGAGTTAACTGCAAACAATTCAGAAACAGGACGTCCGTGAGTACAGCGGGATTCTGTTAACGCCCACTAAAGATACACTCTTGGAGTAATTTAATGAACAGTATTGGATCATGAATTATTTTGTTTCCAGGTAAATGGTCATCTGAACCTGCATGAATGGCGAGGATGGTGTGGATTCGCTGTTGATGATCTTAGAAGAGAACCACTATTTCCCTTTAAACCACAAGTATGTTGAATTCCTTTGCTAAATGGTGGTAACATGTCATAGCATGAGAAATCAGGAAGTCACTTTTTAAACACTGACTTTCGGAAAACAAGATAATTAGTAGTAATTAGTATGATTGGTAATTGATAATTGGTAGTAACAGTTCATAGCATGAGAAATCAGTAACTCATCTTTTAAACACTGACTTTCGGAAAACGAGATAATAAAGCAGTGGTCCAGTAGTTCGTGCGTCGCAGTCCAGTCCAGGTTCAAATTTTCTTTGTTTAAGTCACTGCGTTGACCTCTTGCGAAAGACACTTGACTGTTACAGGGTCTTTTTTCCATTCAGAATGAAAAAAAAAAAAACAAATCAACAAAACAAAAACAGAAGATGAGCTTCAGTTTTGTTTATCAGTTCATTCGCGACGTGAATGGTTCGAGTTTCCAACCCAACATGCATCGCTGGAATATTAATTTTAAGCTTTGGGTAGTTTTGAATTTAAGTATCTACGAAGGATTATATCTTTTTGAATTGGTCCGTGTACGTTTTTAAATAATACTTATTAAGTAAATTTTTTTGTTTATCAGGTGAACACTGTTCTTGAAAAGTTCGCTACAAATGTAACAAAAAGGTCAATGAGCGGAAAACGTATTTTTGGTTACGTTCATCCTCCAATCACAGGTAAAAAAAAAAAAATTCAGGCAATGTTAGGACTGATTCCCGCGCTTTTCATCAGAATCTTCTCTGTGCGGATTTTCTCACTGACTTCACGTTTCAAAGCACTTAATTCTTACTTTCCTGTTTCTCGCACTTTCACTGGTGGTTGCTTGTTCTCCCGTTCTCGCAAAAATTTTAATTTTTACTATCGTTAGCCATTGGTTCCCGCCTATCACTGGTATGGTGGTTTTCTGCGCTTTTATCTATTTTCAGTTATCCATGTTTGTCACTGTATTCATGGCTTTTCGCACTTGTCGCTTGTTTAACGTTTTTTTCGCGTTTTTCACCAGTTTCTTTGTTTCTCTGCGCTTGTAAATGGATTCCTACTTTCCCGCGCTCGCCACCAATTTGAAGTTCTCCCACTCTTGTCGCTAATTCCTGGTTTTTCGCGTTTTGTTCACTGTGTCCATGGTTTCCCGCGCTTGTCTTAAATTTCATGGTTTCCTGCGCTTTCACTGGTGGTCGCTCTTTCTCCAGTTCTTGCTAAGATTTGAACTTTGCAGCTTGCTCTCAACTAGTAAACGTGATAGCAAACTGAATACTGACTCGCCAAATAAAAAAAGAAAATTAGCAGCACTAATTAGTGTTTCATCTCAATTTTTTTTACGCTAACTTTTCAGGTGACTTCGTTTTCGCCATTAGCTCTGCTGACGGTTCAGAGCTCTGGTTGAGTTCAAATGATGACCCAAAAAATTCAAAGAAAATTGCCTATCTTGGAGAAGTAAGTAAACTGAATAATTTATTTGGTCAAACAAAACTTTGTTGCCTGTATTGACTATTTTTTCGTGGAGTCAACCTCGTTTATCGGAGTAATTTTCTCATTGGTAACAGCAGCGAAACAGGAAGCCATTTTGTTTGCTATGGTCGCGCGCAGGTGAATTGCATAGTGCTCAGGTGAATGTATAGTACTAAGTTAATCGCCTCCGAGATAACAAATCAGCGCACGCAAAAAGCACTTTTCGTTTATTCAGCGATTGGTCTTAACAGGTCACGTGCTGCAGCTAAACCTGACCTCACGTGTGCCCTGTAAGTGTTAAATCGAAGACTACTGAAATTTTTAACACTTCAGTGAAAATTTCGAACCAAGAAAACAGTTTTAATGACAATCCTTAATCTCTCTTCTTTCAAAACAGCCTGGTAACCAATATGGAGCCAGTACTCATTTCGGAAATTTTCAAGTCAAGGCTTCCCAAGCCTCAGAGGCCATCAGGTAAAAGATTCAAGGTATTCCAGTGATTTCATTCAGTGACAATGATTTCAGCCAAATCAATTTGTAGCAAAAAATGCTCAAGACTAAGACAAAAAAGGCGAAAAAGGTCTTTAGAAGAGATTCATAGCGATTAAATTTTGATCAGATTTGTCAGTTTTCTGTGAGCGACCTCGGTAACAACAAGGGTAAAGTCTGTATTCAAGCCGAGTGGCTACCCCAACCGAATCTTATCCCGGTTTCCTGAGCATGAGGCGACTAGGAGTATGACTTTGCCCCTAGATGGGATGCTTGTCCATCGTGAGGTTCCCCCCCGACATTTCCCCATCAGGCTTCCTTGACAATTCGGCGGTACCCATTAATGCTCCTGAGTGGAGAGAGGTACGGCGGGATTTGAGTGTTTTGCTTTATAACACAGCAGAATGACTCGACCAGGTCTCGAACCCAGACCCCTCGACCTGGAGTCAAGTGCACCAACCACTGGACTAGCGTGTCTCACCCTCGGTAACTGTAGTCGCTCTGTAATTACTGAACTTGATTTTCTCTCTGTCTCATCCAGACTTGAAGTAGGAAAAGCATATTATGTGGAAGTTCTTCAAAAGCAAAAGTATGGCCAAGATCACGTGGAAGTTGCGGTAACTTAATAAATACGTTTTCTGCTTCTCTACATGTTACTGCAGACTTTTAAGATCCCAGTCGAGTGCGACTGTTCTTAGAGGTTTTCCAATCGATAAAGTGTGCGCTTGTGCGGGAAACAGCAACAGAAAACGGGGAGGAAAATCGCTCTAATTGTCAGTACTTTAAGAAGAGTTTTTGTAAAAAAAAATGTCATTGTGAGAAATACAAAATATCGAAATGATAGCTGTTTTATAGTAATGTTTTTCAGTCAGAAAATGGCTAAATTTCGTCAGATAACGATAACTGTGCAAACTTTGAGCTTCATTAAGAGCACAATGAAGCTTCATGAGGTAAATGTTTTCTAAGCACTTCGCCTCAAACTCGATCCAGCAGTCAAACTTGTCCTTGAATCTAAATGCATCAAACATCGATACCGCTCAAAATGTTATCGATAAGTTGCACTCTGACGATTCCATGTTTTAATATTTCATAGTGGAAAATGCCAGGGGACGAGAGTCTTGAAATTATTGGCTCACAGTACATCTCCCAGTATATAGGTAAGTTGGAGTCGACGGCAGTTCACAAGTAGCATATTATTATGGACGCTGGAATGATGTACCTGCTGTTCTTTTTCAACAGATTATTCAGCCGAGAAAGCAGAAATCAACGCCAGACTTTTGTGCATTTGTAAAGATCACCCAACTTTGCTATTTGCTTATGATGAGGTAAAGACTATGTTTTACTTAATATTTTTCAAGACGACAGAAGGCTTGTTGTCCAGTCAACAAAGGCATATTGCTCTGAGTGAGGGTCGCAAAGCCAAAATCAAACTAATCTTGTGGGCCAATCCGAAGGAAGGAGAACAAAACGAGGAGCCAGTCGGAGCAAAGAAAAGTAAGCCGACGCCCTTAAGCGCGGAAAACACCGGTGACTATGCCACGGTCGGTTTTATTTCCCTAGCTGATTAATTGCGAGGATGACTCGAGTTTTTCTAGACCAATCACAGGCCAGTAAACCAAAGCAATCGTATTTTACTTTCGACAAGCACTTGAAAATTGATCTGTTATACTGAATTTAAAGTTTCCTTTTTTATGTTCAGTTCATGACTCGTGAACAGTATGATTTGCGGGACGACTTTTATTCTCGAGGTAAGATACCACTTAGTTTGCTTTTTTACAACTGGCCTCTGTTAATAAAATACATTTCACTTCAGCGTCGTAAAACCAAAGCTGACAGTTATCATCATGAGAGATCGCAGCGACCAATCACAACAAAGGTGATATTAAGCGAGCCAATGAGAACGCAAAGTAAAAACGAATGAACGGGCTGAAGTGCGAGAAAACGCAAAGTCGTGGTGGTTCGACGCCGACGTGACACGAGTTTTTTCGACCAACCATATCGCGTAGTTAGGTAAAACCATTGCAGTCCACGTTTACTTTAACACTCGGACTTCCTCTGTAGGGTGATACTGATCCATGGAAATACAAATAAAGTTAACTGTAAAATTTTACGAGCTTCATTTCCAAGCAAGTGTGGAATTTTAGACTGCTAGATTAGGTCATTGGTTGCCATATTTTTCTTTCATATAGTTGAAGATCTTCCTCACTCCGAAGTCTCAGATGTCCTTCCGTTGTGTCCCTATCAACCGTCTTATGTCGTCTCGAAAAAACTCAAAGAAAATGAGGCTTTCACTGGAAACTTTGTAAGTACTGAATTGCTTAATTACTACGCCAGCCGATACTGAAATTTCCCCACTAACTGGTGATTAAGTTTAATCGTTTATCTCATGGCGCAATAGTTCCAATGTGGATTGTGACGACACAGCTGCATTCTACTAATCTTTTTCAAGTCAGGAATTCGAGAGCTCGACTGGTTGCTCTGTGGTTGATAGGTTTTCCAACAGCAGTGACTGGTGCATTTCGATATGTAGTGTTCCTCCCGTGATTAATGATCGTGGGCCTTCAATCTTCTGGGATTTCTACTCCAGATTTATTTTCTATGGTTACTTATATGAACTGATTGAAAGATTTGCCCGATGAAGCTTCCAGAAACTTTGACATTTTCCTAGTTCATCATTTAGTTTCTAAAAATATAATGGATGAGATGAAAAATTTTATAAGAATTTCCTCTCCTTTTGCAGATCCAACATCCTCGAGTCTTTCCAAACGATCGAACGGATGTCAATATGTCACATGATGTTAAAAACCACATCAGCTGGGGCAACAAAAAGCTTGAAAAAAATGTAATAAATTACTATTTGTAGTGTAAAAAAGTTCCATGTTTAATATCATCGTTATGATTTTGATTAGGAATCTGACGATGGTGTACCTCAAGTTACTACAGTTCTCTCTTTCAACTTAAAAACACAAACGATGTCTTGTTTAATTTCAGGACGCTTTGAAAATTGTATCTTCTTACATGGAAGCCCTCGCTAAGAAGAAAGGGTAAGTATGAGTTATAGTGTAATTTTTCTTTTATACAGTTATT